ACAAGTGAGCGCGGCCGCGCGCGCGGGCCGGGCGGGCGGCCCGGGCCGGGGTCCCGGCGCTGCGGGAGGCTGCCGGCCGGGCCGCGCGTTGTCCCGCGCTGTAGCCGCCGCTCCCTCCAGCACTGGGCCCTAGCGGGGCCCTCCCGCGCTCCGCAGGGCTCAGAGGCAGGAAACACGGAAGCCTGTGCGGGTCGGAAGGCATCGCAGCGCAAGCAGTAAAGGCAGTAACACCGTGTTCGCATCGAGAGCCTTGGCTCGCAGTTCCTCTTAAGGGAGTGCCGAGGCTCTTGTGTTTTACTGCAGCCGTCCAGGTGAAGAAGTAAAACTCGTCCTTAGCTTTGCTTCTCCAGCCAGCCCTGGGGACGCTGCGCTGACAAGTGAGGTGCAGGTGGTGCAAGTGCTGTGAGGAACATCCTCCTGCTCAGCATGTTTAGACTCAGACAGATGATAAAAGGAGCTTTCACTTCACAGATGCACAGCAAGAGGGAACTGCCTCCCTTCCGTCACCAGAGGAGGGAAAACTAAAGCAGTTGTTTTGTCTATTTAGCGTTGTGTTAGAGGGTTCATGGCATGTTATGAGGCATTCCAAAGTGGAGAGTATGCTGAAGTATTCCTGAAGCTCACGGGCCATTTGATGCCGTATAATAGCTACCACAGTGAGACAGTCAGCCCAGTGCTTTAGTGCCAGGATTGGAGCAGGAAGGAGCCCTCTCTGGTAGCTTGCTGTGAGGAGCATCCAGCTCTGGAGGGAGAAGGGGCTGTTCTGGGGGCCTTCAGATCCATGGGGGCTCTTCTTGTCTCCCTGGGTGATGCCTGAGCATTTGCCCCCCATGCTCAGTGTTGGAAACTCTCTGTTGATGCCCAACCATGTAAGCTGTTTTGTCCCTCTCTTCCTACACAGGGAGTCACGACGGAAAACTCCTGTGGCTGTTTCCTTGAAAGAAGATGAGCGTCTCTTCGGGGATAGCGCTCTAGGAATGGTAACAGCTCTCGTCACTCGATATGCCCGGTGCAACTCCTACGCGCAGATAATATTTTCTCTCTCTTGGATTTTTTGTGATAGAGGGTGGAGTTAGGAAGCGTGATTTTTCTTTTGTATCTTTTTTTTTTCCTTCTTAATTCTGATGTTTTACTGGCTTTCTGTATTGGCGTGTTTTTGTTTGTTTGTTTGTTACCTGTCTGGCCTTCCAAACTCCCATAGCCAAGAGCAGTTCAGTGCGTGGAATGGGAGCATTCTGTTCATATGGCAGCAGCAGAGCTGCAGAAATCCACCAGGGTAACCTTCTTTTTCTTTTGGTAGTCCATAAGGACCCCCAAAGTGGCGTTCAGATACTTTCAGGATCTGCTGGGCAAGCACATGGATAACCCGCAAGTAGCGCTGTACCAGTCCCGCTTCCCAGAGCATGAACTGGTGAAGGATGAGCGGAGACAGACTGTTGTCTTCAAGCTATCCCAGTACGTGTCTTCTGGGCTCCTTACAGGGGACTTTGCTACTGGACTTCTGTAGATGACGACTGTAATTTTCTTTCTTGCAGAACAATGCAGTATTCTCCAGAGGAGATGCTGGGAATGGTCTTGAACTATTCACGTGGTCTGGCTGAAGAGTTTGCAGGTTGGGAAGATATAGGTGTTTCTTGTGGTCTCTGGTGTTTCCTGCAGCACCTGGGCACATGTATCTTTGTGCGTATGCTGAAGGATGTGAATGCAGAGCCTGGCCGCACTAAGAGAACTGCGTTCCTTTCGCCTCTTTCAGAGCAGCCCATCAAGGACGCAGTGATCACTGTTCCTGCCTACTTCAACCAGGCAGAGAGGAGGGCGGTTCTGCACGCTGCTCGCATGGCTGACTTGAAAGTTCTGCAGCTGATCAACGACAACACTGCTGTGGCGCTCAACTACGGCGTTTTCAGGAGGAAAGACATCAATGCCACTGCGCAGGTGTGTGCAATCGGGGCTATGTGCAGAGAATCCTGCGCCCCTGGGTGCGTGTGGGGTGAAAGGGCTGCAGGTGAATGTGCCAGGACTTAATTCTAAGAAGATGGACTTCTGTTTAGCCCCTCTCCTTCGTTTGCACACGTCTGTAAACAAGGCGAAGAGAGAAAACCCCTCTGAACGCCATAGGAGAGCCATGGCGTGTAGAGGTTCAACTGATTTCTGAAATGCTGCCTCAGCTGAAAGCCTTTACAGCGGAGCACACGATGGGATGGGGATGTAGGATATGCAGTCTCTGTTCTGTAAACCTGTGTTTGTGCCCTGCCTCTTGGCTGAGGGGTGGGGGAGAGAAATGGGAGTCGTTTTAGAAGGAATTGACTGTGCAATACTTGTTTTTTTCCTGAGGTTTAAGAAACTTCTAAGGAGCAGAGGGGTTTTTTTTTTTTTTTTTCCTATTTTTTCCTGCTTTGTAGAATGGATGGAAAAGGCTTTCTTGTCTGCTTGTGTCAAGTGTGGCAGTCAGCACTTGTAGTTTGATCAAAGCGTGAATCCCACCGCTCCGCTGTGTCGCACGACATAAAGCCAGTTCAGTGAGCAGATAGTCTTGAGCTGTAACAAGCTTGGAAAGCTGCGGATAGTTTAATTATCTATTAATATTCATCATTACATATATTAAACTTGAGGGGGATATCCAGGAATTTCTGTCTCACTATCCTAACGTCTCTTTTCAGACCATCATGTTTTATGACATGGGAGCAGGAAGCACCACTTGTTCTATTGTAACTTATCAGACAGTGAAAACTAAGGACTCGGGAACCCAACCACAATTGCAAATCCTCGGTATTGGGTAAGAATTTATCATGAGGTTTGGGAAACCCACAGGTATCGGGAAAGGAAGCGCTTGTTTTGCAGTCTCTTCTATGTGTAGACTTTTGAACAAGGCTGAAATGCAGTAATTTGGACGATGGAGTGAGAAGCATTTAGAGTTGAGAGCTCAAGTTACTAACTATTCAGATATCACTGTCTTGTGCGGAAGGTACAGGAGGCTGGGGAAGGGCTAACGAGGATGCGTTGTCTGCCTTAAGGGTGTAAAAAGCCCGAAGTCTAACGCAGTCTAGCTGATTTTTCATGTAGTGTTAGGGAAGTAGCTTATGTCAGGTTGCAGTAGTGCAATATGAATGAAAATGCAGTTGTGTGTTACCAGTTAAGGAGAAACCGTATGCTGCTGTTTCTTAGAAAAAGAGCATGGGACGGTTATCCTTTGGCTTCTCAGCTGCTTGGCACATTTAGCAATCAGGACTTTATCGCGCGCAGTTTGAAGCTGCCCGTTTCAAGCTACCGTCATGGTGACTCCCTCTGCTTTGTTGGTGCTCTCTTGCTTTCGGAACAGCTGTTCTTTCATAATTGCTCGCAGCTGGTGGCATTACAGCTACCTTAGCCTGCTTTCTGCTATGCATATTTGTAACAGAATACATGAGGTTTATTTTCAGCTTGTCTCTCTTTGCTCAGGTTTGATCGGACTCTTGGAGGCCTAGAGATGGAGCTTCGGCTCCGGGATTATTTGGCAAAACTCTTCAATGATCAGCATCCTTCCAAAGACGTCCGAAAGAATCCCCGGGCCATGGCCAAGCTACTGAAGGAGGCCAACCGCCTGAAGACTGTCCTGAGCGCAAACGTGGACCACATGGCCCAGGTCGGGCAGCCTGCCGCGGGTCTTTAGCGGGGAGCCTGGGGTGGGATAAGGAGAGGGGGCTAGATGCGGTGTCACAGAGGCTTTGTCTGCATAGTGTAATTAGTGACTTCAAACTTGTGTGGGATCTCAGAGAAACTTGTCTTACATCTAGAGTCTTCTGTTCCTCTCCTCGCCTTAGGAAGGGCAGGGTTCAGGGAGAGTGCAGTTGGGTCCTAGGTGCGTTTACAGAGGTCTTTACAATGAGGACATTTACAATGTCTTGTTGGCGTTTGTTCTTCCTGCCAGATTGAGGGACTGCTGGATGACATTGACTTCAAGGCCAAGGTTTCAAGACAAGACTTTGAGGATTTGTGCTCTGACTTGTTCCAGCGAGTCCCAGGACCTGTGCAGCAAGCCTTGAGCAGCGCAGAGATGGACCTGGTAGGTTTAGGAATGCATTAGGAAGCCTGGTGTTTCTAGGCATGGGTCTGTGGTCATGTCAGGATACGATTATCGGTGATTATTGTATCTGATGCCGCTGAGAAGTGCACATACCTGCTGCTGTAATAGGCTGCGGTGTTGGCACTGCAGAGAAGTTACGTGCTGCGGTGTCGAACAGGAGTTTGACATGGTTTTCCGTGTTAAGCACCGGGAACGGAGGAGTTGGGTGAGGGTTTTGTTCCTGTCACAGTACCTCTACTTTTTGTGTTAGAGTCTTTAACGCTGTCTCTTTTTGGGTTTTGGATGCTGGTTCTAGTGTTGCTCTTGAAGCCTGGAAACAGAATTACTGCTGCTCAGGCACGTGCCTTGAGCGCTGCCCTCAGAAGCCCTGAGGCAGACTGCAGTTGAACCCAGATGTGATGCAGCCCTTTGCAGAGACCCGTGGCGTTGTTAAGTGTTCAGGTTTCAAGATGCCGGGGTCTTCCTGAGCACCCACGGGCTCTGGTATGCAGTGCAAGACACTGAATCACACATCTTCGGGTCCATGTTTCCGAGGCTCTTTTTCTGCGCTGCCTGAGTCATGGCATGCTCTGAGGTACACTGTAGTCTGCTCAACTATTTCGGAATAAAGTCCTGTGTTTCGGGTGGTGCTGAACAGCGGCCGTGCCGGCCCTGTTCAGTCAGCTTGCTGCCGGGTTCCATGTCCTGGCTCGGCACAGCGAGATGTGCCCTGGTTGTGCTCAAAGCGCCACATCGGTGTTTGGCGACCGGGGAAGGAACCTAAGGAAGCCCTGAACTTAGCTTTCCAAAATTGCTTTCTCAAGACAAGGTGACTGTTTCCAATCCCTAGGGTGGAATTGACCAGGTGATTCTAGTTGGCGGTGCCACACGGGTCCCCAAAGTGCAGGAGGTTTTGCTGAAAGCTGTGGGCAAGTGAGTATGTGAGGCCCCCTTCTAGTCTGTCTCCTCTTGACAAATTACCGCTCGTGTCAGCGGCTGCAAAGCTGACGTCTCTCGCCTGTCGCTTCACAGAGAAGAGCTGGGCAAGAACATCAATGCGGATGAGGCTGCTGCCATGGGGGCAGTCTACCAGGCAGCTGCTTTAAGCAAAGCCTTTAAGGTGAAGCCTTTCGTTGTTCGGGATGCGGCTGTCTTCCCTATCCAGGTAACCCTTGGCTTGCTTTCTCCGGGGCAAGGTAGGGGTAAACTGGGCTGTTTGGGCAGGAAATATTGCAGGTAGGGTTCGATTATTAAGGAAGCAGGGGAGACCTTTCTGCAGAGGGAAGTCTTTGGCACAACACGAGTGCTGCAGTGACAAGTCCTTAGATGGCTGCAAGCATTTAGACCAATCTGTAGGGAAATACTTGTCTGTGCTCAGCTTCCTGTAGGCGATACGGCTGCCAAATGCTGCGGAACCCGCTGACCCAGGAGGCGGTGGGGAAGAGGTTTGTGCTTGTCTGACTCTCACTTGGCGTGCGTGATGCAGGTGGAGTTCACTCGTGAGGTCGAGGAGGAGGATAAATCCAAGAGCCTGAAGCACAACAAGAGGATTCTGTTCCAGCGCATGGCACCCTATCCCCAGCGCAAAGTGATCACCTTCAACCGCTACACGGACGACTTCGAGTTCTACGTCAACTACGGGGACCTGTCCTTCCTGAACCAGGAGGACATGCGGTGGGTTGGCACAAGCGTCCCAGCAGGCGGTTCGGTGACGGTGCCACGTGCCTACCCGCAAGAGCTCGTGGGCAGGGAAGCCTCTGTCCCTGGCAGCGGCTGTTACACGTTTGCGGATCTGTTCTCCAAATTGTGCTTCAGCAGAAGTGGCGGCAATTTGCTTTGTGCATTTGTCCAGCACTGCAAACACAAACGGGAGAAGTGGTTAGCTGCTCTGCAGTCCTTGGTTTTATGAAGTTTCTCTCTTTCTGCTTTTGTCTGCATCACCAGGATCTTTGGATCTCTCAATCTGACTACTGTACGGCTCAAGGGAGTTGGGGACGGCTTCAAGAAGCACTCGGATTATGAGTCCAAAGGCATCAAAGCTCACTTCAACATGGATGAGAGTGGAGTACTGAGTCTTGACCGGGTAAGATCCTGTTGTGATACTTGTCCCCGGTCTGTCACCACCCGTGGTAGTGGTGATCCCTGCTGGTACTTACCTCCTTGCTCGTCTCTCCAAGGTGGAATCTGTGTTTGAGACAGTGGTGGAAGACAAACTGGAAGAGGAATCAACACTGACAAGTAAGTGCTGAACTGTGATGTTCTAAGCGACTGTTTTGTGTTCCCAAAAAAACAGGGATGTTTTATCCCCTGCGACTGGGATAACTGCCAGCATCCCATTTCTTTGAGCAGTCAGAACCATGTACCGAGGGGAGAGGGCAGGGGAGGTGGGGAAATGGGCAGTTAACTGTAGCCTCTGATTATATTTACAGCTCCAAAATACCTAAAAGCCCTTTGCAAGTGGCTGCTGGGTGCTGCAGGGAGCTCTGTCTGAGATGTCATACACTCCTAAGGTGACTATGGCATGCATTGCGACTTGAAAAATAAGAGTTGTTTCTCCTTGTTCAGCTGCAACTGCTCGTTTCAGGAGGACTGTCCTCAAGGAAAGTCCTATATCCATAGCCCCGCAGCACTCTCCCTTCTGGCTCTTGCTGCTGTTGATCTGTGCTTTGCATTGTCCAGCCTCTAAGGAGAGAGCCAAGATCCTCCTGGAGAGAGGGAGGAGGAAATCTGTGTAATCTGGAGAGGAAGGAGAGATGCAGGGGTGGCTAATGCAATCGTAGGTTGAAGCTTGACATTGTTTAATGGCAGTAAGAAGTTCCAGGTGCCGTTCTCACAGAGATGGAGCTTCCACTCTGTGCACGTGTGTATACACAAAGAGCCGAAGGTGAAGTCAAGGGAAGGGTGAGTTTCTGCAGTATGTCTAGCTAACCCATCAGGAGGCTCCTCGCTAGTTACTGCAGTTGTGACGGGAAGAACTGGGAGCTGAAGATGGTCTCCATCCTCTTTTTGCCCGGGCTGCTGTGAGAATGATGGGGATTTGTTTTCTCTCCGACAGAGCTTGGAAACACCATCTCAAGCCTGTTTGGTGGGGGCGGCCCTACGCCAGAGGCTGGAGAGAACCTGACAGAACCGGTGCAGGTGAGCCCCAGGGTGCTGGCCCTGATCGTCTGAGGGTGAATATCTGGCTCGTTCTTTGGGTGCTAAGGAGGCAGTATCTCCCTTGAGCAGAACTCTTGGCTTCTGGCAAGTTGTCAGAATGCTGAGCATGCCTTTTGCAAAAAGGGCCATATTCCTCTGAGCTTTGTGTGGCGTGTGTTTAGAGAAACTTGCGGCCTTTTGTTGGCAAAGCCAGGAAAGGCTGGACCTGTTTCTGGTGAAACGGAGCTTTGCACAGATTACCTGCTTGCTGAAGCACTGGAATGGAATTTCAGTGTAAAAGCAAATGTTTTCCTTGCCTTTGACTTCCCTGTGGTGACCAGGAGGAAGAAGAGAGCCCAGCAGAAAGCCCTAAAGAGGAGCAGGGGGAGCAACAGGAGCAGAAGAGCCGTGCAGAAGATGCTGGTGCGGAGCAGGGAGAGGAGAGACAACAGTCACCACCTCCAAGTGAAGGCAAACCAGAGGCTGCTCCTCCCAAAGCAGAGTCGGGGACAAAGGAAGAGGGAGAGAAATCGGAGGCTCAGGTAAGCAGCAGGCTGAAGGAATGCAGCTGTGGCTTTGGTGCCTGGAAGAACGACGCTCCTGTTTGCTCCTGCTGCTTAGTGTTTGGTGTTCAGGAAGGCTTTTCCCTGCCCATGCCCTGTCTTGGTAAGAGTTGCCAAGGCTGGTTTCAGTTGCAACAAACAACTTTCTTTTCTCCACAAGCCTGTCTGTCCTTCATTCTTCCTTCAGGGTGGGAGTGGTAAGAACCCTGCATGTGTGCAGATTTCCCTGCTTTTCCCACGGAGGTGTCTTCATGGCAGCCTCATTCAGCCAAGTCTGCAGGACAAGACTGCGTGCTTTGTTCTTAACAACCTGTGTGTTCTCAAGTAGAATGTCCTTGGAGTTCAGTTGCCGGAGGAGCACTTCTGCGGCTGCCTGGCAGGTGTTGCAGATCTGTCTCCGTATCAGAGACGGAATTTTGTCTGTTACAGGATCCCAAAGAGAGCAGAGAGACTGTGAAAGAGGAGGAACCATCCAAAAGTTCCGGTGACCAGAACACAGCAACCAAAATGGAGGAAGAAAAGAAGATCAAAGCCCCCAAGAAGCAGAAGCTCGTGCATGAGATCACCATGGAACTGGATGTAAACGATGTGCTTGATCTGCTGGAGGATGAACTCCAGAGCTCTGTGAAAAAGTAAGCTGGAAATGAGCGTGCTACTGTAAAGCACTGGGTAAGGGGAGTGCTGTGCAACTGGAGGAGGCGACGGTTTGCAACTATTTCCTGTGCGAAAAAGACACTGTGCTCTTGAAGCAGATGTGCTTTGCTTCCTGCTGCCTGTACTCACCTTTCTTGGATTAGCTCCCTACCCTTGGCAGCTCTGTAAGTGACCGTGGGGAGAATGTCTCTAGGGTTGATGCTGGCAGCTCTGAGTTGCTCTGGTGCGTGTGTCCGCGTTCGGAGCTTGCAGTGGAGTGAAGCTTGAAATGACATTCCGCCCACCTCCCCTCTGGGTGGAGGAGCAGGAGACGGCCAGAGGAATGCAAGGCCAATAGTAAGTTTACCTTTGGATCTTGCTCTTTTTCCATGTTAGACTCCAAGATTTGACCGTCAGGGATCTGGAGAAACAGGAGAGGGAAAAATCGGCCAACAGCTTGGAGTCATTCATCTTTGAGACACAGGTAAGAGAGGGATGTAAAGCAATAAGACCTCCTGGCAAGAAGGTGGAAGAGGCTTGTGTGCTTCGGCAGCTGTGGATGTAGGGGAGTTGTGTTGGGGCTGGGCTAGGGGAAGGCTGCTGGGAAGAGGCCAGTGCTTGTCTTGCAGTTACTTTTTCTACTGAACTTGGCTTACCCAAGCCCATGTGAGGCAGGGAGGTTTCCTCGAGATGGAAGGGACGCTTCCGAGCTGCCCAAACATGAAACTGCAGCTTACCTGCGCACCTCACCTACAGTTGCCTGTCAGTTTTAGAACCCTCGTCCTCTGTCTGGAAAGAAATTGCCAATATGCAAAGGCTGTGGCAGAGAAAAAGGCAGCTAACACTAAGCGTGTGCAAAGTGACACTTGGGGCCGCTTTCCCATCCTATATCGTGCGTAATGCTGAGAGCAAGACCTTAGATTTGGGGCTGTGTGATTTAAATTGCAATCTCCTGTTCGCTGTAGAGCAGCCCAGGAGGCCCCCACGCTGCCGAGCTGCAGATGGGGAAGCTGGTGGTTTGTGCTTCCACAGACACTGGGGTTTTAAAGGAGGTTACTTGGCTCTTTTCAGGATAAGCTTTACCAAGAGGAGTATCAGCTGGTCTCGACAGAGGAGCAGAGGGAAGAAATCTCCCGAAAGCTGAGCGAAGCCTCCAACTGGATGGAGGAGGAGGGTTATGCAGCTGCCACTAAGGTACTCTTGTGTGTAGTGGAGATAAGCCTGCTATAGTTGACATAAACATCTCTGTGTAGGCTGACAGTAGAGATCCATCCTCATTCCTCTCTCATCTGCCTCTCTGAGAACTCCTTGCCTCCTCTATGTGTTATGGGCTGAATACAGTAGGACCTCCTTCTTCCAGGGACGTTTGCATGCGTGGGCCTGAATAGCTGTGGCAGAAGCTAAGTGATCTACATGAAGCTTTTAGTCATGTGTCTCTTGCCTTGCTCCTTGGAAAGAACTCTTTCTCTTTGGTAGAGAACTACAGTACTTGCAGCGTTGGCCTTGAGGGCTTGCAGCATCATCACAGGAGAAGAGGTTTGACAGTGGATAAGCTAATGATCATTTTTCTCCTATCCCCACTTTGCAGGAGCTGAAAGACAAGCTTTCAGAGCTGAAAAAGCTTTGCAGGAACCTCTTTTTCCGTGTGGAGGAAAGGAGAAAGTGGCCAGAACGCCTGGCTGCTCTGGACGGTCTGCTCAACCACTCAAGCATCTTCCTCAAGTAAGAGCAAGTTGGTAGAGAGAAGGGTTGTGTGGCTGGTGCCCGAGGGGATGCCAGGAAAACCTGCATGTGCCAGTTCCTGTGCTAGGTGGTCAGAAAGGTCTAGTGCTCTAAAGACAAGGAGGCCGCAAGTGTTTCTTAGTGCTTGGTGCTACAGCAACCATCAAGGGAAGCATCTTTTAGCTGGGAGAATAGGAAGGGTCCAGTGCTCTGCATGCTCTTTCCAGGCACATCTATTCCTCTTGACCCGTTTTCTTTTTTTTTTTTTTTTTTTCCCCTTTCATTTTTTTGTTGTGTGTGTTTTGTTGTTGAGGTGGTTTTACTGTTGGGTGATCCTCTCTGTTTTCTTGCCTTTGTGATCGCTACATTTGCTATCTCTGCATCCCGTTCCTAGCATTGGGAGATCGAGTTAGGTCTCTCTTCATCTTTGTTTCCTGCAGATGTAAGAGGTGCAAGTGTAAAACACAGTACTTGGTGGGCAGGAACTTTTTTCTTTTCTATTAATTGGAGTGAAAAAAGGAATTGCTCTCCCTTTGTGATCTGTTGGGTTACCAAAGGAAAAACAAACCCTTTTTTTGTATCTTTCAGGGGAGCCCGAATGATTCCAGAGTCTGACCAGATATTCACAGAAGTGGAACTGAGTACACTAGAAAAAACGATCAATGAAACGACGGTAACAAAGATGGGAGTGATCCCTGGGGGGGGAGGCTGTGGGGGTTGCGCTCCCGGTCCCAAGCAGTAGGTGCCGTTTCCTCGAGGCCGGGAAGTGGGGCGTACACGTCTCGTCCCCACACCTTCCTTCTGTGTGTCCGTGCTTGCTGGAAAAATTGCGGCGGGAAGCAGTGTTGCTCGGAGTAAATGAGGAGGCCTAGGAGCAGTGATGCTGACATACTGTGCGCTGCAGTGTGCCAAACCAGCCTGTACCAAAAAGCACCTCCTCTTCCTCCCTCCAGCTGTGGAAAAATGAGACGCTGGCTGAACAGAACAAGCTCTCTCCTGCTGAGAAACCTGTCCTGCTGTCCAAGGATATAGAGCTCAAGATTGCGGCCCTGGACAGGGAAGTGCAGTACCTTCTGAATAAGGCCAAGTTTGCCAAACCCAAGCCCAGAAAGGAGAAGAACACCACAAAAGCTGATTCGGGCAAGAATGCTACAGCATCAGAGAGCGAGGACACTATCCCTCCCACGGAGGGGCGACACGAAGGTAAGGAAGGGAAGGCTGAGCACTGCCTTACTAGCTAGCTCTAACAGTGACTTGGCTGCATGTTCGGGAGGTTGCCCAGGGCTTCGCGGGGGCGTGAGGCCTGGCAGGGAGAAAGTGGGAGCAGCTCTGCTCTTCCTCCGAGCGCCTGCAGAGAACCACTGTGACGCAGAGTTGATGTTGTCCCGTTGATGCATCTTGGGTGGCTTGTGCACAGACCTCGCTGTTAGTCACCTGTCCTGCTCCTCCTATCCTGACTGTTTGCTTGCTTGCTTTTCATCTTAACCATAGATAAACCTGAGGATATCGGTCCAGCCAAGGAACCTCCTACAGCTGAGGAAGTAAGTGAGGAGCCTGCATCAGACCCAGGTGGGTGTTTATTTGCCTGACAGCCTTGTGCTTGGTAGCTAAGAGTGAGCGCTGTTCACGTGTGTCTTCTGCCTTTTAGATGTTGGAGACACTTAATGTAGCAGAAACTGTTCACTGCTGAGTAGCTGGGGGATCTTAATGAGTGTCAGTGGTGTTCAAGACTGCTTTGTGTGCTGCCAAACTGTTGCGATGTATAACTCCGTTCCCTTCGTTACACAGGGCCCCAAAAGGAGAAGAAAGCAGAAGCTGGAGGAGAAGGCAGGAAAAACGATGAGTTATAACACCCCTGAAATCCCGTCAGTGTCAACATCTATTTATTTGAGGGTTACTTTCTTGTTTTTTATAATGGACCTGGCTAGTTACGATGTAAAAGGCACACAACAAACAGTCTGACAACAACCTGCAATAGAGATGTACATTTTTTTTCTTTTCCCCTGGGGATGTTGCCGCTACTAACTTAGTGAATGGTTTTTTATTTCTCTGTTCTTATGTGTTTAAAGGTGACCGTGTGCTCACCAACAATTGTCTCTGTTTCAATACAGTCTTACTGAAGTCACCAAAGTGACTTTTCTTTAGAGGAAAACAGTGAAAGAAATGCTGTAAGCTTTAGGAGGGAACTTCAAACATAGACTCTGTGCCACAGCTCGTCTGGTGGAAGGTCGAGGGAAATACTCCTGGAATGTGTTGCTAAGCTGGTGTTGTCTTTCTGTGTGAGGCCCTGGCCTAAAGAAACAGTGCGGTTTCAGCGGGTGCAAAGTGCATGCACGTTGACTTCAGGGAGGCTGGTGCTCTGCAGTGAAAAAAGGCATGTATCTGTTTTCCATAAGGTGTCGTTACAGTCATCTCTCTCTGTGCTCTGTAGCAGAGTCTCAAAAGGGTGAATTGAAATTTAACCAAGTGATTCAGTTTATTGTTCATTGTAACCTAAAAGCTCAAAAAGTGCAAAGTTGAATGTTAAGGAGGATGGAAGAAGCAGCATCTCGGTGCGTTTTTTCTCTAGTTGGAACAGCCACCACTACTGGACCACAGAGGCAGCACTGGCTTAGATTAAAAACAAAGGAAAAGTGGCGTGCTGACTACAACTCTCCCCGCTGCAGCCTCTCACGTACTCAGACTGGCTTCCTTGTACAACGTCGTGTCCCTGCTGCGGTCTCTCAGTTCCTTGGGACTGTTCATGCTGCTAAAGTGCACAAGCGGAGTCGCGACGGACTGTCACGGTCGCTTGTGAACATGCAACTGGTGTTGTTCTCCATGGCCCTCCATCAAAAATAAAAACTACCCTCCTGGCGGTCTCTTATGTAGGCTGTGGCCTGTGTGAGGGGTGATGGCAGAGGGGTGGCGAGCAGCTCGCTGCTGCTGGGGGCCGGCTGGGGGCACAAGTTGCTGCACGGGGCAGGGAGCGGGGGCTGCGCGCCCTGGGGCTCTTGTGGTGGTTGTTGCTGCTGCTGCAGTGCCACAGACGCCCCTGCCACATGGGAACGGGTTGGTGGGGCGGGGTGGGGGGGAGGTCCTGCTTGTACAGATTTGGGAGGTGCAGTATCCCTGCGGTCTGCTTCGGGCTGGGGGGAGAGGGCCTGAGAAGGGCCAAGTCCTATGTATGCAATGGGAGAGCTGAGCAGAAAAGACACGAAAAGTTTGGGCTTGAGCAAAACCCACCTACAAGTTTGTATCTTTAAAAAGGAGGTGGGAAATTGCTCCCCCTTCTTTGGCTGATGAACAGGACAAAGTGAGTGAGGGGGACAAAGGAGTCAGGTGACCTGAGGTGCGAACACAGGCAGGGAGGCAGCGAGTTGGGTGTAGGCGTGCCGGGCAGGCTGTAACTCCTGAGTACTTTGGCCAATAGGGAAAAGGTGAGGGCCACCGCGGTCGGGAAATTAGGATAACAGGGGGCTGCACCCTTCAGCAACTTGAGAGACCCCAAAGGGATATGCCCGGCGGACTCTCCCTTTATTCGAATAAAGTTTTAGGTCTCCTCTGTCTCCTTTTTGGCCATGCAGTTTTTGACAGCGAGAATTTCCGCACAGAGGCGGTCCGCTTCGGGGCGGGACGGCGGCTGAGGAGAGGCAGGTCGTGCTTGTGCCGACGTGGGATGTGCAGTCCCCCCTGCGGTCCGATCGGGGGCGGGGGGAGCGGAAGGCTGACGAGGGGCGGTTCCTGTTTGAGCGGACTTGAGAGGCACAGTTTCCCCTGCGGTCCGTCTAGGAACAGCGGGGGGGGCGAGGAGGGGGCGGGGTCCTGTTCGAGCGGACGTGGGAGGTGCAGTCTCCCCCACGGTCCGCCCCTGGGTGGGCTGAGCGGGGGATGGGTCCTATGTGTGTGGACGGGAGAAAACGCACGAGAAGTTTGGGCTTGAGCAAAATACACTCACAAGTTTGGACATTTCCAAAGGAGGGAGGAAATTGCGCCCCCTCCCTTGGCAGATGAACAGGACAAAGGAATATCTGCAGGTGGGAGACTGAGCGGAGCCACAAAGTGGGGGGAGAGACTGAGAAGAGTCCGGCGTGAGGGGGACAAAGGAGTCAGGTGACCTTAGGTGAGAACACAGGAAGGGAGGCAGCGAGTTGGGTGTAGGCGGCCGGGCAGGCTGTAACTCCTGAGTACTTTGGCCAATGGGGAAAAAGGAGAGGGCCACCGCGGTCGGGAAATGAGGATAAAAGGGGGCTGCACCCTCCAGCACCTTGAGAGACGCCACAGGGATATGCTCGGTGGACTCCCTCTTTATTCGAATAAAGTTTTAGGTCTCCTCTGTCTCCTTTTTGGCCATGCAGTTCTTGACAGCGTGATTTTCCGCACAGAGGCGGTCCGCTTCGGGGGCGGGGGGGACGACTGAGGAGAGGCAAGTCGTATGTGTGCAGACGTGGGATGTGCAGTCTCCCCTGCGGTCCGCTTGAGGGGGCGGGCAAACGGCTGTGCATGGGCGGTTCCTGTTTGAGCGGACTTGGGAAACACAGTCTCCCCTGCGGTCCGTCGCAGACGGCGTGGGGGGGGTCCTGTTCGAGCGGACGTGGGATGTGCAGTCTCCCCTGCGGTCCGATTCGGAGGGGGGGGGGGAACGCTGCCAAGGGGGTGGGTCCTGTTTGAGCGGGCTTGAGAAGTACAGTCTCCCCTGTGGTCCGCATCAGACGGGGGCGAGAGGGGGGCCACTGAGGAGGAGTGAGTCCTGTGTTATGCAAATGTGGAAGGTGCTGTCGCCCTGCGCGACGATTCGGGGCGGGGGGTGCTGAGAAGGGGCGAGTCCTATGTGTGCGGACGGGAGAGCTGAGCAGAAGACCCACAGGAAGTTTGGGCTTGAGCAAAACACACCCACAAGTGTGGACATGTCCAAAGGAGGGAGGAAATTACTCCCCCTTCTTTGGCTGATGAACAGGACAAAGTGAGTGAGGGGGACAAAGGGGTCAGGTGACCTGAGGTGCAAACACAGGCAGGGAGGCAGCGAGTTGGGTGTAGGCGTGCCGGGCAGGCTGTAACTCCTGAGTACTTTGGCCAATGGGGAAAAGGAGAGGGCCACCGCGGCCGAGAAATTAGGATAAAAGGGGGCTGCGCCCTCGAGCAACTTGAGAGACCCCACAGGGATATACCCGGTGGACTCCCTCTTTATTCGAATAAAGTTTTAGGTCTCCTCTGTCTCTTTTTTGGCCATGCAGTTTTTGACAGCGAGAATTTCCGCACAGAGGCGGTCCGCTTCGGGGTGGGGAAGGCGGCTGAGGAGAGACAGGTCGTGCTTGTGCCGACGTGGGATGTGTAGTCCCCCCTGCGGTCCGATCGGGGGGGGGGGGGAAGAAGGGCGGTTCCTGTTTGAGCGGACTTGGGAAACACAGTCTCCCCTGCGGTCCGTCTGGGGGGGGGGGTTCCTATGTGAGCGGACGTGAGAGGTGCAGGCTCCACTGCGGTCCGGCTCGGACGGGGGTGGGGTCGAGGAGGGCGGGGTCCAGTTGGAGCCGACGTGGGAGGCGCGGTCTCCACTGCGGTCCGCCCCAGGTGGGCGAGTCCTATGTGTGCGGACGTAGGAGGTGTTGTGTCCCTGCGCTCCGCCCCGCGCCGGGCTCCGCCCCGCGGGCAGGTGGCTGCAGCCGCCTCAGCGAGCCGTCCGACTATGGCGGGCGGGCGCGGGCAGGGGCGCGGGTATGGGTACTACCGCGCCGTCATCTTCAGCGCCATGTTCGGCGGCTACACTCTCTACTACTTCAACCGCAAGACCTTCTCTTTTGTCATGCCCGCCGTCATGGCCGAGGTGCCGCTGGGCAAGGACGAGCTGGGTGAGTGTGGCGCCCGGCACCGCAGTGCTACTGCTGAGTCCTGGGGCAGCGCGGCCCGGCGGCACCACTGCGGCGAGCAGCGCCCCTGCTACGTGCTACTGGCGCTGTTGTGTCGCCCCTTGTGGCTGCGGCTGGGGCTCAGTGAGACGCTCGGTGTGCGCTACTCGGTCTGCTGCTCACATGGCCGGTGTCTGCCCTCCCGCAGGCCTCATCACGAGCAGCCAGTCCGCAGCCTACGCTATCAGCAAGTTCATCAGCGGCGTGCTCTCTGACCAGCTGAGCGCCCGCTGGCTCTTCTCCTCTGGCCTCCTCATGGTGGGCCTGGTCAACATAGTCTTCTCCTGGAGCTCCACCGTGACGGCCTTCGCTGGGCTCTGGTTTCTCAATGGTCTGGCACAGGGGCTGGGGTGGCCACCCTGCGGGAAGGTGCTGCGGAAAGTGAGTAGATGCTGCGAGCGCGGTGGGGAGCGGAGAGCAGCACGTGCCCTGGGCTCGTCCAGCAGCAGGGCCGCATGCAGAGTACTGCAGGAATGCTTACTCCGAGGCCAGAAGAATTCACAGCTATTCCTGTCCCCACCAAGCCAGGAAGTGTAAAACACCAGCTGTGCTTTCTTCTGCTTTGGAGCCAGATTCCCTGCACATCTCATGCATCCTAGCGATGGCTCACAGAGCACCTCAGTCCCTGCTTTCACAGGCCTTGCTTCCCACTCCATCTGATAGCTAGTGTCTCCCAGGACTGGGCCCGCTCAGTTGTGAGGACCAGCGGGTGTTGGAGGCCAGTGTTTTAAGGAGGAAGGTGGGTGGAGGCCTTCTAGCTCCTTTGCTGCTGTCGTTGTCTCATGCTGGGAAACAAACCATTCGCTTTGCGCTCCTCACGAGCTCAGGGCTTGCAAATTGCAGCCCCTTCAGACAGCATAACTAGTAACTCATAGAACAGCAAGAGTCAGGCTCCCAGGCTGTAGGTTTGGCGGTATTTGGGTGGTAAGTGAGCTAAACAGAGCAGACTGGTTTATGCTTTATGCCATCGGGACAGGATTTGAGCTGTACACAGCTAAACCTTGGTGCTTCCAGATCCTCAGAGGCAGCACTCAGACTGTGCATGTACCCTGCCCACCAACTTAGTGGGAATTTCCGTGTCATGATAAAATGTGATGTTCTCAACTGCCTGCAAGACATGTGGAAGGTTGTTAAAATCCAGGAGTGCACGTACTTGCAGGAAAGGAGGATAGGAATAGCTGTATTGCCCTTCTACAAGGCCTCTAATGCTGCAAGTCAGAGGGAAGAAAAAGACTTTCTGAGGGAGTTTTGTAGGTGTGAAGGAAGCTTGTGGATAACGGTAACGATACGTACAGCGTTTTTTGAAACTTCCAGAGCTTCATTCTCAGTTGCAGTAGCTCTCCGACATTTTCCTGTCAGCAATTATAACCCAAGTGGTTCTGGTTTGGATTACACATTGCAATGAAGAGCTGATCATGCCTGATCCTTCGTGCAAAGCGAGTCCTAAAGTTACACTGTGACTCTCTGCTTATCCACAGCGGTACCGTGCCAGCAAACGTTTCCAGGAGGACGCCGTTCCTAGCCGGGGAGTACGCAGAGCTGTGCACTCTTAGATTTGCTTGTCCCATGTCTCAGTTTCATGGTCTGTAAATGGAAATTACACTGAGTTGGCTCATGATGCAAACACCTGTCAAGCTCGTGTCATGTTAGACATTTCCTGCAAGAATGAGGAAAAGCAGATTCTCACTGTTCTTTCTATTTAGTTTTGTAGATCTGAGTCTGAAGAGCCCAGAACCCTCAGCATGGGCCTTTGTTGAGGATTTTCAGGTGCCACATCAAATTCTTCTGCAGACCTCATGTCGTTTCTCTTGTTGTTGCACAGTGGTTTGAGCCTTCCCAGTTTGGGACTTGGTGGGCAATCCTGTCTACAAGCATGAACTTGGCTGGGGGCCTAGGCCCCATTGTCGCTGCTCTCGTGGCTCTCCACTACGATTGGCGTATGACTTTGTCCTTCTCTGGCTTCATCTGCGTGGTTGTCTCTTTTGTTTGCCTTGTCCTGATTAAAAATGAGCCGTCGGATGTTGGGCTACCCAACATTGAACAAGGAGCCAAGAAAGGGAAGAAAGGTGAGCACTGGATGTGATCGTAAATGGGGCGCCCGTAGCAGGAGGTGCCGAGCCTTGTGCGTGCGCTCTGGCACAGCCGTGTCGCGCTCGGGGCGCTGAGCTCAGGCTCCCTCCCGCTTCCGGAAAGCACTCTCAGCAGGACGGGCGCACACGGTTGTTCTCAGCAGCCTCCCCTCGGCCGCTCCGGGGCTGTGGTGTTGATGCCATCAGCCACGTACTCCCCCTCCTCGGTCCTGTGGGGGGCCGGGTGCGCTGGCTTGGAGACTGTCCCGTCAAGGGCGGCAGCGGAAGGCGCTGGCATCCACCCGGTAACCGGTCTGCCGGCAGCCACGTGTGTGTCACGAAGACGCTCTTGGCCATCTGTTTCCTCTGTCCATCGCGCAGAGCCTTCGTTTTCACAGTCCCCTGCTTCTTGGGGCTCTGTTTGTTTGGAGGGTGAGCGCGGGTCTCCAGGGGATGCCGCGGAGAGGGACGGTGGCGCGGCAGGAGATGATTCCCTGGCGTCACTCGCCTCTCTCCTGCGTTGCTGGAGGACGGGCAGTTCTCCCCTCACCCTGCTGCGGGTTTTGTTGACCCCTGCCTTGCGGTGGACTCTGCTCGGTGTTTTTCTGTCCTAACCTAGAACATACAGTTAGTAAATGTTTGTTCAGCCCACTGAGCGTGATGCTTCTTTGAAAGCAAAACAGGTAGAGGAGAATTGCAACACTAGTTTGCTGTAGGATTTTAAAGGCTAGCGAAGCTCATAGCATCTTCTGTGCTGTCCAGAGATACCTGTGCTACTAAGGCTGGCCTCCTAGTGTAAGAAAACAATGAAACAATGTTGTTTTCCCACAGATTGTTTGGGGGGGGGGAGTAGATTTGTAGATGTCTCAGCAGGACTGATGGCAAAACAAGGTAGCACTTGAAAATCAGCCTTATTGCTGTGTGCTTCAGAGCTAAACAGATTAAAAAAAAAAAAAAGAAAAAGTGGAACAAAATCAGGACAAGTAGGTCATTTTTCTAACAGGGAGAATGGTTTACTGGCAACCATGAGACAGAAAATTACTGGGAGTAGCATATGGATGGTTCCTCTCAGCTCCTTAGTGAACATGAAACAAATAGACAGAAAGCTCCTGAAGTTGCAGCAAAGCCGGGGCTAAGGCACGGTGCGCAGCTAGCATTTGCTCTGTTAGGGTGTCCTTGTGCATGAACTGTGTCTGAGGATCTTTTCCATGGACCTGCTGGGGCTCCGTGGCTCGGGCCAAGCAGTGACCTCCTGCTCATCTTCCTTGCAGGGTCCTCCAGCGACAACAGCACTCTGGCAGAGCTGCTGCTCTCGCCCTACCTCTGGGTGCTCTCGACAGGCTACCTGGTTGTTTTCGGGGTGAAAACGTGCTGTTCAGACTGGGGACAGCTCTTCCTGATTCAGGAGAGGGGACAGTCTGTGCTCGTGGGTAAGATGCAAAGCTCAATTTCTTCACGCAGTGTCAGCGCTGTTGCGGAGCTCAGCTGGGTGTGAGAAAAGGACCTGGGTTCCTTCATCTGAGGACTGTTCTGAACCTCCATGTCTAGCTGTGTTGTGAGCAGGGAGATGGCAGGCAGAGCAAGCCACTTACGGAGGAGCCTATCAGTGGCCTTGCTGGGGAGCCTGGGAAACCGGAGCACAAAGCTGGTTCTCGGCAGCCGTACTGGTGTCTGAACGAGATCCCTGCCCGCTGATACACTTGATGACTTGATGGCACTGCTGCTTTTGTGGGTCTGCTTTGGGAACATTGGCTCGTAAGCAGTGTGCAGGACATCTGCTTTGCTGCAGTGCCCTGGAATGGTGCATGTCCTGAACTACTGGCTGGCAGAGAGCAAACCCAGGCAATGTGCAGTTCTTAGAACAGCAGAAAAACGTGAAATTAAAAAGTGAAATGGGACGAATTGTCGTGATAAATCTGACGGCCTGTTCTTTGCTTCACCTGCTTTCCAGGTAGCTCCTACATAAGTGCCTTGGAAATAGGGGGTCTGGTGGGCAGCATTGCTGCTGGGTACCTTTCTGACAGAGCAGTAGCAAAAGTAAGTAAAAGATTCTTTTCTTTTTTCAGTATATTTTTCCCTTTCCAAAGCTTGCAGCAGCTGTGGAGCAGCATGCTCTCCTTGCGAGCTCTTTATGGTGCCTTGGAGATTAACAGCACTCTGAAGGGAGCACTGAGCGAGTTGCTGCCCCATGCTAGTGAACAGCCCCTCTCATTTCCTCTGCCTGCCCAAGCTGCTCCTGGGGATGCAGTTCAGCATCTGAACCACCCGTCTCTCTCTCGGCAGCCAGAGCTGGGCTGGAAGGAGTGTGGCCCTTTCCAGCAGGTTCACGACGGCGCTCGACCATGTGCCATCCTCGGTGGTGTTGCCACTGCCTGGTACCCTTGGGAGGAGTAGGGCTGTACCCATGTCTGCTGTGTGCACCCGAGCAGCAGCAGGATACTCTAAAGGTGTTGAGAAATATGTACTCCGGTGTTCCACGTCGTGATACGGCTCTGCGATAAGAGAGTTAACACGTTTTGTCCCTTTGATTTACTGACTGTAATGTGGCGAAGCAGTTTGATCTGAAATGAAAGCTCAGTGGAGATAGGAATAAGGGCAGCTTGTCATGGAGAAGAATCATTACTTACTGCAAGAGCTTCCTTTTAACACAGCAGCTTGCTGACCACACGGGTTTTAAAGCAAGACCCGAAGTCTGGCTAGAAGCGGTGCTTGTGATGCGCCATCTCTGGGCGAGAGACCCGTGTGGGCAGCGTTAGTGGCCATGGAGGCAAATTGGTGGGCGCCCTTGCGGTGTCTACCCTTCCGCCTCTCTCCCTGCCTTGCAGGTGGGTCTGTCAACCTACGGGAACCCTCGGCACGCGCTGCTGCTTGCCATGATGGCAGGAATGTGCGTCTCCATGTTCCTGTTCCGGGTCACAGTGACGGCAGAGTCTCCTCAGGTAACCCCCGGGCACCCGGAGCGGCCGGGCTGGCGGTGCCGGTGTCCTCGCACCCGCGGGGAGCTCGCGGGCCAGAGGCTGCAGCCCAGCGGCTTCAGGGAGACTGCAGGGACATGGTGGAATGGCGAGGGGAACTGAAAGGCGGGAGACTTGCTGCCAGACGGGAGAGAGGGGCCGGCTCTTTCAGAGAGTTGGACCTGCCTTTTCGGAAAGCCTTCTACAGTGTGAATTGTAATGGCAGGGGTTTTAAAGGCAGCAAAAAAGCGGTGCAGAGAAGAGGATGGTTACATTTCAACTTTAAGGTGAAATGGCAAGAAACTGTGTGTTTGGATTCTGTCTCTTTGCGAGTGGTAAAGTCTTGGTGAGGTAGTAGAACTAAGTCCATAATGGTCGGGAGCTTTGTGAGAGGAAGCCTGGCTAGGTTCTTCACCCTCCCCCGAAGCGATGGGTCTGTGTTTCCTCTGTTTGCGCTGCAGGGAAGTGGCCCCGCTTGGTCCGTGTCTGAGCTTACCTGCTGGGGTGTCAATGAGCTGCTTTCCGTCCTTCCCTACTGGCTGCTAACCACGCATTTCTTCTTTTCTGTTTCTTTCTCCTCTTCATCAGGAAACTGATGTCTGGATCGTAGCCTTGCAACCTCTAGCTGATGTTACAGGCCTAAAAGAACAGGAGGTTTCTGCTTTGCATTTCTTTCTCCCTCTGCCTGTTTCTGATATGTCCTTTTCCTATCCCGCAAGGTTGGTTAGCGCTACCTAACTTAAAACCAGCACCTTAAGGAGAGCTTTGCAAGAAGTTGGGTAAAAGCAGCCTCTTCCTCAAAGCATTTTATGGGACGAGCGGAACTTTAAAAAGTCGGAATGCAGAACTTGTGAAAGTGTGTGTGAAAGTTCCTGAGGATGTTTGTGCATCAGGTAAAAGGCCTTGTAGATGGGGCACAAGACTGGAGGTCGAGGGCGCTGCTGCTGCTCCTGTGACCCACTTCCTCCTCAGTTCTCACAAGCTCTTCCCAAACTACCTCTTCATGTCTGATTCTCATCTGGAAAATGAGCTGCCACTTCTACATAGAGAACCTTTGGGAAGTCTTAGGCTAGAGCTATACAGGAAAAATGCATGAGTGCAATTATGAGTGACAGCGGGAAGGTGTGAAGACGCCTTTCTGATCTCTCCTCGCTTGCTTTGGCAGCTGTGGATATTGCTTCTCGGAGCCGTGTTTGGCTTTTCCTCGTACGGCCCCATCGCCCTCTTTGGAGTCATAGCCAACGAGAGCGCGCCCGCCAACCTGTGCGGCACCTCGCACGCCATCGTGGCGCTCATGGCCAACGGTGAGCAGCGCGGCCGGGCATGCAGGACACGGGGCTACGCGCGGCCTGAGGAACGCGCGTGGGGAGCCCGACCTGTAGAGCTGTGCAGAAACCCGGGACGTTGTTGTCCCACGGATGAGGAACCACCCTGAGGTTGGGCTGCTTGCTTATGTGCTCAGGAACGTTCCCTGCTGTACCCTGATGCAGCCTCGTGTAGCGCTTGTTGCCTCGGACTTTGAATTCAGCCACAGGGATTCCTCTAAACGCAGAAGCAGGTCACGTAGGAGCCTTAGCAAAGGAGATGGAGAACTCGAGGTGTTGCAAGGGTTCCTTTTGTGTCTTGCAGTTGGGGGTTTCCTGGCCGGACTGCCGTTCAGCACCATTGCCAAGCACTACAGCTGGGCCACGGCCTTCTGGGTGGCGGAGCTCACCTGCGCCGCGAGCACCGTGGCCTTCTTCTTGCTGCGGAACATCCGCACCAAGATGGGCCGCGTGCCCAAGAAGGCCGACTGAGGAGACGCCGCGGGGTGCAGAGGAAGCCCTGACGCCAACGGGAACGATGCAAGTGTTTTGATTACCTGGCCTAGGAGCGTGTTACCTATTGCTGCAGCCTAGATAAAAATGTCTCAATCTCTCGTTCGCTGTCCTGTGTCTGGGCGCACGTTTCCCGGTACCCATCCCCTTTTCTCCTGGGAATGTGATAAATCAGCTAGAGGTCCACGTGCAAACCTCTTACCGTACTGCACCCCCTTTTTACAGCCCTGCTAGTGAAATAAGGAGCTTTCAGACAGGACCCAGAGCTACTGAGCTGCGGGTGCTGTAACATGAGTGGCCTCAGGTGCTGCTGTCACATTCGGATCTGTGTCTCTGAAGCAGTAAGTGGCAGTTGAGCCTTGCTGTGCAGGGCTGTGCTCAGCCTGTGCTGCGTTGATGCAGCTCCTTGAATCCCGCTAAACCTGAGGCTCCCTGGGCACCCTGCTACCGTCTGCCCTGGAGCAGAGCAGGGCAGTGGACAAGGGTGCCTGGAGAGCAGCGACCGGGGAGCTCAACCTGCGCTGGCTGGTACAGCCTAGCTGCCGTCTTGTGCTGCGCCTGCTGCTGCCAGCCTCTCTACAGCCTGGGAAACGGCGGCCTTCCCAGACATTCCCGCCACTGCGGGGTAACGCGCTCGGCGAGGGGAGCAGAGCCAGGGCGCCGTGTGCGGCGCATGTCCAGGGCTCGCGGGGTCCCGGATGGTTGCGGCGTGGGCGGCCGCTGCCAGGGCGGCTCACGCAGCGCCCTGCGCGGATCCCCGGGCCGGGCAGCCCCCCAGCAGCTACCGCAGGGTCTGCTGCTGCCGTGCGAGTCCTGCCAGGGCCAGCAGCAGCTTCCTCTCTGTCAGGGAACGGGCCCTAGTCCGGGCTGTGTGCGGGATCCAAAGGTGGATCTGTGCGGGCCCGGGGAGCAGTCGGGACTACCTCGGAGGCGGAACGTAGCCATCACACCCAGCCCTCTGCACATGAAATAGTTTCAGGTTTCTAGCCAGGATTTCAGTGAGTATTCTTGTATTTCTCTGGAAGGACTTAAGTGTCTGAGGGTCCTGGAAGGAGGATGTTCAACTCACGAACAACCTTCTCCGCAGATACTTTGCCCAGCAGCTTAGATGCCCTAATGCAGATAATGGAAGGCGATTACATTTTGTACTGAGGTGTCAGATCTATCACTCATGGAATAAAAGTGAAGCAGTATCTGATGAGCTGTGGTTGTCCTATGGGGAATGGTGAGCACAAAAGCCTCCAGAAGGGATGACTCTGCTCGGGTGTTTTCAGGGAGCTCCTGCCCATCTGCCCTGATGCCAGAAAGCAGAGAGGCACCGACCTCTCAAGGGAATGTTTATTGTTTCTACATAGAGCAACTCTGTGACACCATAACTTAGAGCTGTACAGGAAAAATACATATGTACAATTACAAAGTAAAGCATGACTGCGCCAGGGGCCACAGAAGCGCAACTCAGGGCTTTCATTCAGGAACAGCAGAGCTGCAACAACCAAGAACAACAAGCAGCCTCTGTGGCCCCAGGTGAACAGCACGATGTCTGTCTCGGGGAAGCGTCACGCGGAGGAAGATGAGGCTCGTCTGGGGCAGATGCAGCCCCTAGCGTGCCCGACGGGGCTCCGGGTGAGGGCGGCTGGGGAAGGGGCAGCTGGGGAAGGGTCTCTGCTCTTTAACACAGGAGCAGGGACAGTCGACAGTGGTTTTTCTACGATCCAGGCCCAAAGGATCCAGCCTTTTCTGCGACCTCCAAGGCAAGTTTCAAGTTCTGGTCAAACAATTCGCACCTGAAACAGTCAGACAGAGGCAGAATGAGAAGAGCTCACCCTCACAACAGGCTGCCAAAGAGGGGAGCTCCACCGCCTCCTTTGGCTCGGCCTCCTGCCAGGAGAGGAGCTCAAGTGCAGAGCACAACGGCGCTGCTTGAGGTGAGACCAAAGTCTCTCGGGGGGCTTCTGGGGTGACCGTGGGGCCTCGGGCCCGTTTCCCAGGAGAGCAGCAGTGCAGGACTCTGCAATGGCCAGGGGCCCATCCCAGCAGCAGCGTGCTGTGCTCTCCTGCTCTGAGCGCTCTCGTGACCCCAGTCACAGCAGAGCTGTCAGCATGGGGTACTGCACGGGCGAGCCCCTCGAGGCTGCTGGGGCTACGTGTCCTCCGGCTCGTGCGCCTTCTCCTTACCTGATTGGCATTTCCAGCGAGTAGAAAGGGTTCTTCAGAGCAAAGTCGGAGTAGATCTCGTAGATCTTGCGCAGCAGGGAGTCGATCCCCGTTTGTTTGGGGTCAGCGAGGACCACAAACTTGATCCCTAGGGTCACAGGGCCGTAAGGCCGAGGAGAGGGGAGGCCCCCGCGCGCAGCCTGCGGGGCAGCACGAGGGGCCGGCGGGGGCTGCTACCTGTCAGGGTCTGGAAGCAGTGCAGCTTGAACGTGTCGGTCTCCAGCATCTCGATGCCGGAGCTGCCGAGCTCGGGCGACAGCTGTGAGCCGATGGCGAAGAGCCTGGAGGGGCGCAGGGTGGCGTGAGCGACCCCGTCCCCCCGGCCCCGTCCCCCGCGGCCGCCCCGCACTCACGAGTGGAACATGGAGGCCAGCATGAGCTTCTCGTTGGAGGAGAGGCGGTGGCGGCCGAAGCGGATGGACACGGGGTAGTTGGCGGGGTTGCCCAGGAACTCCATGATGTCCTTGCCGTCGGCCGTGAGGCGCCCGTTCACCTCGGCGCCGTTGATGGCCAGCACGGCGTGTCCCACTGCGGGCGGGAGCGCCCCGTGAGCCGCCGCGGGCCATCAGCGGCGCCCGCCGCCCGCCCGCCCGCCC